GGTGGCGACCCCCTTTTTATAAAAGCCAAGTGACCCGCGACCCCGATACAATTGAAAAAGGTATTTTTAATAAGGTAATTAAAAAAACAATGAAATTAGTTTTTTAGTATAATTTTATTTTAAATTATGTTTAATAATTAATTTAATGAGATGGTTGAAATTGCATGTATTATTAACCAGCCTCAAAATTCGCGGGTGAGATTTTGTTAACGCCAACCTCATGTCATTCTCAACATTTAATTTATTCCTCTCAAAACTCTCAACACATGTTTCAACCAACTGTGACAGAATAGCCTACCCAGATTACACTTATTTTAATTTTTTAAAATATGAAATTATTCAAACTTTAAGACACCGTTAAAAATAAATATTGCATTATAGTGAAAATTTTGTTTTAGTTTACTGCATAAGTTGGCGACCCCACAGAAAACCCGTTGCGACCCAGAGGTTGGGAACCCGTGGTATATAATATATTAAATAGTATGTTGAGAATATAACTTGCATGAATATAAAATTATTTGAGTTATAATTACTTCATAATTTAATTATTTAAAATTTTAATGCTAAATGATATTTTTAACACATTTTAATACTTAATTTTATTTGTCTAACAAATAATTTATTGTACATAAAATTTATTTTTAGAGTAAAAAGAGAGAACATTTGTTATTTCAGTTTTCAAATTTTGAATATTTTGATTAGATAGATAACGTTTTAATATATTTTCTTAAAATATATAGAAATTTTATTTTATTTACTTTAGTGTTTTCAAATGAGAAAACTTATTATTTATTCTCTTAAAATCACATTACATTCTGAATAAAAATACAAGTAATTTTTTACAGAAATGTTAACTATAAGTTAGAATTTTGTTAACTTCAATCCAGAAATAATATAAATTTCTGGGTTTTAGACCAAATAATCACAGATCTTAAAAAATAATTTTATTTGGAACTTGGGTATGAGGACTGGCAATGGTACGACACACCTGGTAAGAATGAACTTGAGAGGGAGACAAAGACTAAGTTGGGGATGCGCCAGTGTTGACAGGTTAGCCACATACTTCCTCCCCAGTGACAATTCTTGGGAACTTAGGAGGGAAACATATAGTTTGCCCAGAACGAGTTGTCGATGGACAAGGTGCCTGTTTTTGTGTGGGTGGTCGTTTCTGTCCATTGTCATTGTTAGGGAATGATGGAGAGGTGGACGTATCATTCAGAAAAATAGAGGGTTTGAAACAGTTGATCAAAACGGTTTGCTCCCCTCGAGGTGTATCTAAATCAAAGTTTGTTTGAGCATTGTAGGACACAGAAAGGACCATCATTGATTGGTTGTAATGGTTTCCATGAGGCATTGTGGCATACAAAGATGGAGGAAAAATCCCATAATAAGCAAATAAATAAATACTTAATGAATATATATATACCATATTGCCATTATAAACAAACAATGCAAATAAAGATGAATATCCCAAAGATGGGGGATGTTAATCCTGTTGTTTTACCTGAAGATTGTTTTTAGTTATTTTTAAAGACTTTCATAATTAAATTGTTTTTTGCTGCTTCATGAGTGTATGATATCCACAATTGCAGTTTTACAAAACATAAATATATTTAGATTTTTTAATAAAGCTAAATCATAAAAATCTGTGCTATTTTTAACTTCTTAAAAATTCATATTGCCACAAGAATTTACTATAGTAAATTGTTTAAACCTTGCTATTGATTATTTTACATATCCCAACCGAGATTTATGAAACATACTGTAATGTGCTCTCGTCTACTGACAAAGTATTCTTTTGTAGTTATCTTGGTTAGTTGAGACTATTTAATTATAGATTTCTGTTGTAGGAAAAGTAGAAGCAGTATAACAATAATTACTGAAGTAAATTAGTTAAATCGCAGCCAGATGTAACTGCCAACCTGCTGATAGCTTCGAAGCCATTGCCCATCACTATGACTAATGGAAAGTGGCTTGATGCCAAGCTAGCTTTTGGTGAAATGCATTAGTTAAAGACCTATGAATTATTTAGCACTCTTTCCAGTATATTTCAGGAAATTTAATATTTATACAAACCTCAATATATTCAGATTTAAAGCTGACATTAAATCAAGTATGGGGCTTATATATAGAGATTAGATCTATGTACAAGTTGATATTGAGAATTTGATAATTTTTTACAATGAAAAGTGTAAATCTAATAATTCATGGATACCAAGCAGTTCTCTAATATTAATAGGAATTTCCTTTCACAATTGGTGTTTTGTGTCTGTGTTGTCCATAAGAGGGTGAGATTTAGTTGTCATCGGTTGCAATGTTTTACATTTGGATAACCTCTGTTGTGCGTATATAATTATCAAAATTTTTTGTAATTAAAAATTATCAATAAAATAGAAACAACAATGAAAGCATCTTCATGCTTGTTAACGTTATCTGATGCTCTCTTTCATTCTCTGCACAAATTCTAATTTTTCATCTCTTCTGTATATATTCCTCTGTTTGTGATTGGAAGCTGCTAAAGTAATAATTACTCAACTGATGTAAGGCAGAAATGAAAAATACTCTCTTTTACAATGTCTTAAAGTCCAGAGTTAACAATAAATGATATCTGGCAGTCTGTTCTGGATTGTTCAATTAAAGAATATCTCAACAATCTATACTAACAATATGATACAAATTAGATACTTATATTAAAAAATTACAATATTTATTCAAGAATTATCCAATAATGCAACATCTGCATTTGTGAATGTTCTGGATATATGGTGTAGTGGCATTAATTTCTACCGTGCCAACAGAGTTTTGGCCATGGGGAAATCCCTATATGAATTGCATTGGGAAAAAATGGAACAATAACAATCTTTAGCCTATTTGGCAGTAAAATTTCCAAATGAATGAATTATTGTTATTTTATGTTCTTATGTCTAGTATTTGTATTTGTTTTATTTTTGATTTTAGTATGAGTTACATTTATATTTTTAGGAATTTTTGGTTGAATTGCCAGGTATAATGCTTATTTTTTTAAATCAAATGAAATGTCCACACATGAAGTCTGCTATGTACATTTGAACCTTTCATTTGGACATTTCATTTTTTTAAATCAAATGAAATGTCCACACATGAAGTCTGCTATGTACATTTGAACCCAAAGACAAACGTTAAGTGATTCGAAAACACTGGTTAACTTGAAATATCACTGCTGAATGGAGTAAATTTTGTTGTTGTTTACTTTACATTCAGTTTGCACTGTGTCATTTATTTAAAAAAGGAACCAATGGTTGAATACCGATACTATTTATATGTATATTTATTTTTTTGTTAGAAGTAGTTAATGATTTTATTCAGATATTTTATTCCTTAATAAAAGACAGGAAATAGAATGCCACATTCAAAAAGAATACAAAATTCCGTTTTGTATTCTTTACTTGTTATATTCTGTACTGTCTGAAGAAAAAGTAATAGATCCAGAAGAATCAAAGGAAGCTAACTCATTAATTATTCAAATTTTTAAATACTTTTTATTAACGTGCACAATGACTGTATTGTGAATGGTCAAATACACCATAGTTGCCATCATAAATGTTTTTCAAAACCTTGTATGTAAATTCAAACAAATTTTAATTTTTGCATCAATAGGGAGGGCTTAAGCCCCTGTTGTTCCCTAGAATCTGCATCTGTAAAGTGTTGCTTTATTTTATTAATCAAATCAAATATAAAGAAATTATAAAAATTCCATCATAAAATTTTCTTTAAAAGGAAGCTCACCGCCTCCATCAAATAAAGAAATAAGATTATATGGAATGCGGTTTTGCCCATTTACTAAGAGAGTCCGTCTAGTCCTAACAGCCAAAGACATTCCGTAAGTTGTGTAAAGAAACAATTAAAATGTTTTTAATATCCAAAATGAAATCAATTTCTTTTAATAGTTATGACATGATTAACATTAACTTAAGAAGCAAGCCCGAATGGTTTTTAGAAAAAAATCTTTCCGGTAAAGTTCCTTTGTATGACGAAGGAGGAAAATTGCTAACCGATTCTGTTATAATATGCGACTATCTCGACGATGCATTTCCAGATAAAAAACTTTATCCCAGTGATCCATATCTAAAAGCAAAAGACAAACTGATGCTAGAAGTGTTTGGGAAGGTAAAAACTTAACATTGTAACATGAATGCTTATTAATAGGAAAATCTGCACTTTAAAAACAAATCTTTTTCAGATATTAGGAAAAATATCCAAAGTTCTTCATAATGAGCTAAAGGAAGAGGAATTTCCACAGTTCTGGTCAGATATAATGGAACCATTGACACAATATGAAAGTGAATTATCATCTAGAGGTTCATATTTTGGAGGTAAATATAATTTAAAAGATGAATATGTTATACATTGCAGTAGAAACATGTTTATATTTTTATTTTTAGGAAAGACACTGGGAATGCTGGACTATTTAATTTGGCCCTGGTTTGAGATCATTCCTGCACTCTATTTAATTCGTCCTCAATTAACAAAATTTCCTAGTGAGAGTTATCCTCTTCTTTCGAAATGGATAGAAGACATGAATTTGAATAAGTCTGTGAAAAGCGTGGCTGTGGATCCGCAGACTTATGCGGGATTCTTGGCAACATTGTTGAAAGGTTGTCCCAACTTTGATTATGGATTGTGATACGAAATTTGATATGATTTNTTTTTTTTTTTTTTTTTTTTTTTTTTTTTTTTTTTTTTTTTTTTTTTTTTTTTTTTTTTTTTTTTTTTTTTTTTTTTTTTTTTTTTTTTTTTTTTTTTTTTTTTTTTTTTTTTTTTTTTTTTTTTTTTTTTTTTTTTTTTTTTTTTTTTTTTTTTTTTGTGTTTAAGTATCCGATAATCATTCAAATATTTTACTTAGCAATGGTACAAAACTTATTTGTAAGGATTTGTTGTCAATATTCTAATTTTTGATTGAAATTATGTTTACATTATATACAATAAATATTCATGTTTTTGAGCAACTTGTGTGTCAAACAATTACTAATTTATCAAATGAGATTGTACAGTGTGAATACATAAATAATTAAATATTACAAAATTTGCTGCTACAAAAGAGATACATTCAATAATGATAAATGCAGCAACTGAACTTATATACATATGTGATGATAATGATAAAAAAATATTTGTACATATAATAAAGGCCAATAGTGATTTTCAAATGATTTTTAGCCTAAGAAACGCTCATCTATTAGTGCTTTTTTTACTAAATTTCTTTTTCCAACACTTTGTCTTATAGATTTAATTATCTGGAATGAAAAGGTTTATTAAGAGAAATAAATTTAATATCTTAATAAAAACTGAAAAGCATACCTTTGCTATAATAAATGTTACGATTGCAGAATATACATAATCTTCGGCCACCATGTCGACAATTGTAAAGAGCATAACTTCAAAAATAACTATAGTAACTTCTTGGCCACGAAATAAAATATTATCAAATGAGTAACCATTATCTACAAAAGAAAGACTTTTTAAATTAGTTGTGTATAGTTTCTCACAATGTACATAAATTATTTTGCATATCCTAAATATCTTGATACTAATATTCATTTAAATCATTAAAATCAAACATTATCTATAAATTTCTTTTTTAGATTTTTACCAACAAAATCAAAGAATGATAAATAACAAATGCACTAAAATATAAATATCCTAATAACTTTATTAAAGCCCAAGTTATACTAAGCATTCATATTGCATCACATATTTAAATATTGGATCTATTTTTAAAATATTCAATTTATAAGAGCAACAGTGAAATTCATTATTATATTAATTTATTTCTTATAGAATATTTATCTTAAATAAATAAGTAATGCAATTAAATTGATATGTTATAACTCAAAATTCATAATATTTACCATTGTAAAAACATCCCCTGTCTGTATTTTCAATGAATTCTACATCTAAGAGACTTTCCAGAAATAATTTGTCCTTGATGACATAATCCAAATCTTTAAATGCCTAGATTAAAAAATTTTAAACATTTTAAATAGAAAACTTGTACTGTTATTTTTGAAATAAAAAAATTTCAAATAATTTTACATGTTCTATGAATCCAGAGAGGAATTTCTTCACCATATGATAAATATTAGCGACTTTATCGATATCGGCCCTGGAAAGTCGGCCGCCAGCTATAAATGACAAAGAATGTTAAAATATCTTTTTTAATAAATAATATAATTTTGATAAATTGTACTTGCCTCCTTGCATCCTATCGGCTGCTTGACTATACTGAAATTAAGATAAAATATATTAGTATTTAATTATTATTATTTTTAAGTGTTAATGTGATACATGACAGACCGAATTTAATGGAAGAAGCAAATGTTCATATTGTTCTCTAACAAGAGCAGGCAAAAACATTTGAAATGTTTGTTGTTCTGTATTTGGTAATAATCCGCGATGCCCACATAGATCTTCCTGCAATTGTGTCAATGAAAATTTCATTAAAAACCAAGTATCTTCTTTACTCATATTTAAATATAAATAATTATACATATATATTTATAATATAAAAACCAAATATTGCTCAAAATAGCAGTAAAAATCAAAATTAAAAAAATGTGATAGGTCTGAAATATAAAGAAAAAGCCATTATTTTAATTTTATAGACTAGAAGTATGAAAATTAATGTAATTTAAAATATTAATTTTTTTTCAGCATTAGTTTAAATTTAATGACCTTTCAAAGTTAACCCTGTGTTTTTTGGTTTGGAAGAACCCAGATTTTCTTGAATTTATGCATTAATTTGTATAAAAACATTTATTTACAGTATTGACCTGAAATAAACAACATTCAATCAATTACAAATAATAGCTAAATATCTGAACAAACTTTTCTGAATCCATCTCTTAACTGTCTTGCTGTGGTTTCCTTATATTCTAAACCACAGGTTCTCAAACTTATTTTGACCACTGCCCACTTTGAGATTAAAAAAAATCTAGTGCCACCATATTTTTTAACTTACCTTTTTACATTACCATCTGCTGCATATCTTAAAAACAGTTATTGCAAATATAATGTTTAAACATGCATTATTATATGGATAGGATAGATAGGGATGTGATAGATAGGGGATCTCAGAAATAGGAATATCCACTTTGATCTCAGAAATAGGAATATCCTATTTCTGAGATCAAAGAATGTTTCGATGAGAAGAAATAAAACTCATATTTAATCACTGAGCCTTCTACTGCCCCCTGAAAGCCTCCAGTGCCCACAAGGGGGCATTATTGACCACTTTGAGAAAGGATATCCATCAATGTATGAAGCCAAGACTAAACTCTGTCAACCATTCTCTGCACTTCAAATGTCTGTCATCAGAACTTTCTCCTTTCACTCTTTTTCACTTTAAGGAAACGCCCAATTTCTGCATAAACTCAATAATTACAGGTCAAAAACACTATCAAATCACAAATTTCCATATTCTTCTCTTAGCTTAAAATTCTTCAACATTTGGAAAAATGAACTCACCCTTAAAAGCTCTTGAATTCAGTCATAAAATCCTATTCTAGGATTTTTCATATAATTCAAGTAGTTTGTTTTTCAAATTAAACTTGTTTGATTCTACATATGATTACCACAGAATCTTAACAACATTGTTCACAAATAACAACAAAAAACTAATTTAGTGGATTATTAATTTTAAGTGTGGCCCATAAAATAAAATGGGCCAACCTTAAACCTTATCTGTAATTATATATAATATGTTATGTAATCCTTTAATTTCTAATTATGTTTTTGTTATTTTGAGAAAAAATAACAAAAACATTGTTCAATGTCAATCCAAAATAAACTTTGTAAGTTACAAACTGCAAGCACCTCTTATTAAATACTTAATAAATAATTTTTCAATATATCATACATATTTGAAAAATAGATATCTTACATTTTTAGATTAATTAATTAAACTATGTTATATTAAATAAGTACTTTTTGTAAAAAAATCAAATATGTTTTCTTTCAGAAATTTTCTAGTTTTGATGGAAGATCTATTTACAATTTATAAAGGTTAACAGTATTATAAGTAATACATATCTAAATGATGTAAACTTTTCAGCAAATTTATTAATGAATTCTTTATAGCAACTGCAACTCTATGAACAGATTTTAAAATTAATTATCATGTTGTTATGGTAAATTTAATGATAATTTTACAAATGCTGTATGCAATTATAAAACTATGTCATAATTCTATTTTAATCTTCAAACCCTTAATTGATTAAGTAGTGTAACAATTCACATTTTAAGGAGATGCTCAAAAGTATTATTTGTTAGACAATGAAGAATATATGTTTTGGTATTTCTGTTACTTATTAAATGTACATTTTTTTAAACATCTCTAATACAAAATTTCACACACTGTAAAAAGTGTCGCACATTACCAGGGCTGCTGCATACACTCCAGGTTGAGAACCCCATTGCTCCAGGGTACATTATTCTACAGAAAAACATTTTTATACTTTTCCCCCAAACTTTAAGGAATTGCTATTATTCTTTCTGTTTAACTTGGTTGGAAAGAGTGTACTCTGATAACTAATTTTTTTGTCTAGACATTATGAGAAAATTTTATAAACTGTGCTTTCTTTTCTATGGGGCTCAAGCCGGGAAAGCCAGCCCCCATTCCTAAAGATTGAAATTAATTCATTGATATTGTTCTGAAAAACAATTTGACAAATAGAAAATGATCTATTGATTATCAATACAATAGTAGCATTGTTTGATTTTGTTCATTTACTTCATTACATTGAAACTAATCCTTGCACATTATGTGATTTCTGGTAAAAATTCTGAACTTACATAAAGATTTTCTGTGATGCTAGCAGTTTTCATAACCAATACAAAAAGGTATTCTGATTATAAATAAAGAATTATTAGTATTATTTTTTGTTTTTTTCCTGAATGAATCTCTTTCTCATCATCTCTTTTGTAAATATGTCAAATTTTCAATATAATTCTAAATATTATGATTTTCTAAGAAGTAATTAAAAAATTAAAATTCTATCATCATTAATTAAGAAAACAAAAATTGGAAAAATAATAAGTAATTTTTTCAAACATGTTTTGTTTTTATGTTCTTCCAACTTTCAAAATTATAGTATTTGACAATTTCTGGATACATGAAAGGTACTATAATTTTTAGAATATACAGTTGTATCCAATATATATATATATAGGATTCAGCAGTCCTTTTGAATAAAGTTGATTCTGTAGATTTTTAATTTTTTCAAATGAATTTATAAATTTTTAAAAAATTCTAACCACTAAGAAATATGAACTGTGTTATATAATGGATACTGTCTTGAAATTTAAACTGAAGCATTATTTATGAAGAATATCAGAAGATTAAAAATGAAAACAAAATTCAAAATATTATTTATTTACTTATACATTAAAATTACTCAGTTAATCAGAAATCCTAACATATTGATGGTTATAGTTATTTGACAAATTCTTATATAGTTTTTTTTGTTTTATATAATATATATTTCTATATTAGGATTCTTTAATTCTTGAAACAATTTTAAAAAGCTGATGTTATAAGAAGTTAAAACTTAAACAATAATTGTCATAATATAATTTTGAAGTGAGTACATACCTCTTCTCTTCTCAAAAGATCATGCATTTCTCTCATGTTAACATCTGCTCGACCATGGGCAGAATGGCCATGAATATAGTAACCAAACTGCCTTGCTGACATAACAAAGACACTGATCTATAAATCATAAGATTGTTGAAAATGGTCAGTTAATTAACAGAAACATAATTTAAATACTTACATTACTAACTGAGCAAAGGTCAACAAATTCTTGGAGTTTATCTTGAAAAAAACGTTCATATATCAATTTACGTAAGAAAATCTGAAAATTAATTTTTTATGTAATAAATATAATTAAATTTAAACCATAATTTATTTTATTTAAATATACCTGAACTGTTGCCAAAATGATATAAGTACACGATCCCACCGAGAATCTGCATATAAAACTGTATGGAACATTGATATGTACATTTTCTGATGAGAAATTGGTCAAAGGATCAGCATGTGCAAAGTTTTCAAAACCAATTCCCTACAGAATATAAAAAATTTAATATTTTAAAACAAATTTTATTATTTATTTACTTAAAAAGGTAATGTAATACCTTAAGAAAAAATAAAACAGCCATAAGATGAAAACCCAACTGGACTCTTCTTAGGCACTGTATTTCACACCATTCTTTGGCAACAAAATAAGTTCTCCAAATACTAACAGCTGGTGAGTCCAAATTTTTTTCACCGTTTATTTTATCTTTTTTTGTATTTAATGCAGCACTGACTTCTCCAGTACTTCTTTCATTTGATTTTGGAGATGTTAGTTTTGTTGTTAAACCATGCACTTGAGGTCTTTCCCAATCAATAAAAAATATATCAACTGTACACTGAACTGATAAAATATGGATGAGCTGCAAAAACTGATGGAACAACATAATTAAAATTTTATAAGTTATATCTAATAATAAAATCTTACACATTTATTATAGAGATATTATTTTGATCAGGGCTGTGGAGTCAGTAAAAAAACACTTAACTCCAACTCCTGATAATTTTAGTAGGCCAACTCCGACTCCAGCAAAATTAAATACCAAGTAATTTTATGGGGGAGCAGAGGTGCTCATAGAGGGTTATCCTACTTTGAACTCAAAAGGAGCCCTGGGCATTTATCCAAATATTTTTATAGTTTGTATTTTTAATATTTAACTTATATAGTTATTTGTATAAAAAAAAATTAATTTTTAACAAATATTTAATAAAAGGAAAAAGGAGGAGCGATAAAATTCTACATCTACATATCTTTATTCTACAGCTTTTGCACTTCAATTTCACCCTTCCTGAAAAGTTTGTCTAAGTAAAAAGTGTGTGATCTAGCTACTTCAGCCCATTGTTCCGAAAAGAAAAATATATATTCTGATAAATTAGTCTGGCTCATTCAAAAAAATAGAGTACTTTTTAGAGTGGAAATAATAAAGGAATGAATCAAAAATATTCAAATTCAATTGGGTCAAAATAATTTAACTAATAAACACAAATACTACAAAGAAACTATTGATACATATTTAATAAATTAAATTGTTGCATTTTTTATTTAAAATAAATGAATTATAAAAAATACAAAAACATTTTAAAAAATTATTAAATATAAAATAAATTTTCTTTCATTTAAATAAAAAAAACTAAATTAAATTTAAAATGCCAGAGTCAGAGTCAACACATTTTTCCCGACTCAGACTCCACAGTCCTGGTTTTGATACATATTAATTACAAACTATTTAAAACTTCGTAAGGTTGTTTAATTACATATTAATGATCTATTTACAGGGTTCATACTCAAATTTTTGTTTTAAATTCCATGACTTTCCCTGACCAACTCTATACAAATTCCCCAATCTTCAAATTCCTTACAGTATAGCATATTTACAAAATAAAACAGCATTTGACTTACTATGCACATATGCTATTACTTCTTGAACTTTATAATTAGTTGTTTTTTCAAATTAATAGCTATGTATTTTTTATAATTGCCAAATTATTAAAACTAAAATTAAAATGTTTTATTAAATTAAAGAGGTTTATTCTATTGTTAATCCACAATCATAAATCTATGTAGCTTTGAAAAAAAGAAAAAAGCAGTTTATTTATTTATTACTCATTAACAAATCCCATATAATCCATGTACAAAAGTATATATTCATTAAATTTAGCCCTTAATAAATTTCCTGGACTTTATAAAATATTAATAAACTGGAAAAAAATCAGAAATTGTTTTGTTATGCAATCAAAATTATTAAAATGAAAAATAATATATAATTTTAATTTAAATAGCATTATTTAACATTTTTTTGTACTTTAAATCTTTTAGAAAATTTTGTGTATGCTTGGGAGAAATTTTCAGTCCTGAAAACATTCTGCACCCCTTTTTATAAGTTGCATTGCACCATATTACTTGCTGCTTACAGACAACTACACTTAGTCAAGTATATTGTCAGAAAAAAAAACAAAGAATTTAAGGAGGAAAATTCCCTAACTTTTCCTGATTTTTCAGGTGTGGAGAAACCCCATATTTATGATAATAAATGCAAGAATTTTTGGTGTGTTAATTCAATTATTTTAGTCATGCATAAATTATCAAATAATTTAATTATTTTAAAAATATTACCTTCATAATAAATGCAAAAATAAGATAAATTTTTATTTTTCTTTCTTGTTCTACTGTTGGTAAAAACAAATGAAATACATCTTGTTTCTGAAAATACATAATTTCATAAAATAATTATTTAAAACTATATAAAAAAATTACTTTATTTACACAATAATTTATACTTTACTTTAAATAGTATCATCCAATTAAGTGAACAGGCAATCATTACTATGAAGAATATAGTTGAAAGATTTCCACAAGCAAAAATAAGTAATTTGCCCAAAGCCTAAAATAAACATTTTTGAAATTTGTAAATTTTTATATTATTATTGACAAATGCATTAATACAATCTTAACTTACAGCTAAGTCAATTACTTCTCTTCCTGATCTTCTAGACCATCCCCATGTTTGAATGGCTGACCATAAAATACTGAATCCACTCAAGACACCAATAGCTATCTAATTTTAAATACTTTAAAATATTTTTTACATAAAAAAGATAATATCAAAAATAGGCACTGTATTTCACACCATTCTTTGGCAACA